AATTGGAAGATGCCACAGTGCTTGGACTAAGTGCCTTGGTGACTAGATATTGATGCCCTACTCAACATGCAAAGCTAACATGTGCCAAGTGGTTACCAAGAGAAAGTTCATGAGAATAAAAGATGAGTTGTTTATTCCAAATACTGTCAAGCAACGGAAACAGGAAGCACTTAGCTGGCAGACTGAAACTGGGATAGGCTCCAGTTCTGACTTTATAGATATATAAGCCGTTGCATGGATGTGTCACTGTCCTTAGTCATGTTCTCAGAAATCCACCTCACTCTAGACATTTTAGTGGTGGAATATTACATTTCTGAAAAGTTTAATTTTACAATTACATCTCTGTCCTTGTAAAGACTGCCCAGGTCCCAAGTCAAATTTCACTTTAGAATTGCCCCTTGTGTAGAAGTACCTCATCTCTGATACAACAAGAGTCAGGCCAGATAATATGCTGCTTTAAATGTAACTCAAACATGCCAGCCTCTCTCTCACATATGGAAGCAAGTACGTCTCAAAAGTATGTATATATTGTGCTGTGTGTTGCTCTCAGAGCCTCAGAATCTACTTTCAATCCATCCATTTAATAACTTCTGTGGGAGGAGTTTACACCAGCCCGAAGCAGCCTTATGTCTGTCTGAGAACACACAAAATTAAAAGCAGTAACACAATGGTCTCAATGTTGTACATGTAATGTTTACGTATATATTATGCCCTGGAGATGGAACTAAACCTTATCCAAGTGCAATCAAAAGCAACAAGTTGTTCCATGCATCATTATTAGAACGGCATAACATGTCAGGGCAATTTGTCCTTGGTTATTTGTGTGAACTGGGCCCTGAAATGTTTGTAAGTGCTTAACAATTTTTATATCAGTCCAATGGGCATTTTGATAAAGCTTGCAATTTTATTCTATCAGAGGAAAAAATGACCATTAAACTGTTACAGACTTCATTTCTCCTCCATATTTCTCCTTCTTTTACATGGCTTCTGGTTTTATACCTAATATAGTCCTATAAGCTTTGTCACTATATAAAGCAAAATAGCTGCTATTCTGCCCTCTATAAATAGACAAAGTAAACATGACCAAAAAAATTAAACTTGGCAGGCAGTAAAATCTCACATGATTAGAAGCAGTTAGAACAACTGCTTGCCTTTAACGGCTGGCAATTGTTAAATTTAAACTGATATTCTAAAATAGGATTAAGAAACTTGGAGAACTCCAGATGTTGCTAAATTATAACTTCCAACATTCCTCCAAAATGCTAGATGAGCTGCTGGGAGTTCAGCCTCAGAAGGATTACAGGTATCTACTATTTACGTATTTGTTTGCTTCATATCCTCCCTGCCATAGAGGAACTTAAGGTGGCTTACACAGTACTCCATCCTTGGACTTTTTTTCTTACAAGCACAATCTTCCATGGTAAATTGTGCTGAGAGTGAGTGACTGGTGCCAAGTCTTCCACATGGCTGAGAATGAAGTAGAATTTGGGTCTTCCCAGTGCCAATCCAAAACATCTTACAATGAAAAGTTGCTTTTCTTATATAATCTTATAGATTTCCTTTCGCTGTTTTGCCTCAAACAAATTAATGATTGGCAATGTTGCAAACATTTTATTATAGTTAACATATTAATTAGTGATTAGGAAGAAATTGCACCAGCATTTAGTAACTAAAAACCAGTATATATTAAATCAATGTAAATCTGCTGACTTCAGTAACAACACTGTACGATGGAGAGTAGACACAGGTCAAGGACCACCCTGCCATAGTGCAATACAGCTGATCAGAGTAGTTCAGAGTAGTGTCAGCTATCAGAGTAGTGTCATCAATGTAACAAGGTTATTGATGTTTCTTCCTCCAATTTTAAAACCACACTCATATTCTTCCAATCCAATTTCCCTCAGTATATATTCTACATATATGTTGAATAAAGGGAGAGTATACAGCCTAGTCTTACTCCTTTGCCAACTGGAGCCAATTTATTTTGCCACATTCTGCTCATTCTATGGCTTCTCGATCTGTGTATAGGTATTGCATAAGGACAATGAAATATTCTGGAATCCCCATTTTTCCAAGCATGTTCTCAAAGAGCATTCTATAATCAATGAAGCATATGCTGACTTCTTCGTAGCATTCTTTGGCTTTCCCAATTATCCAGTGTGCATCAGCAATAATGTCTCATGTTCCTCAGCCTTCTCTAAAGTCAGCTTGAACATCTGGCATTTCCCTTTCCATGTAGGGCTCTAATCTGGTTTGTATGATCCTAAACACTATTTTGCTCATATAGGACATTAAGAATATTGTACAATAGTTTGCACACTCTGTTAAATCTCTTTTCTTTGGTATTGGAATGTAGATTGACTTCTTCCAATTTGTTGGCCACTGTGTCGTTCTCCAGATTTGTTGGTATAGCTTGGTTAGAACCATTACTGATTCTTCTGTTGCTTGCCATACTTATATAGACTTTCCATCAATTTCTGCAGCCTTCTGATTTGGTAATGACTGGAATGCTGTGATGGACTGGAATTGTGGGGGCCAGAATCGGGGAGTAAAGAATGCTCTTTC